TTTAACCACGAGAAAACACAGAGTTTAGAGTTTAAACACAAGAATACAGAGTTTAGAATTTAAACACGTGAGAATGCACAGTTTAGAGTTTAAACGCGAGAATACACAGAGTTTAGAGTTTAAACCAGAGTTTAGAGTTTAACGCGAGAATACACAGAGTTTAGAGTTTAAACGCGAGAATACACAGAGCTTAGAGTTTAAAGGTGAGAATATGCAGAGTTTAGAATTTAAACACGAGAAAAAATGCTGTAAATTCCAGGTTAAGTGGAGTCGGGTGGAGTCGGGTGGAGTCGGGTGGAGTCGGGTGGAGTCGGGTGGAGTCGGGTGGAGTCGGGTGGAGTCAGGTCGTCCTCCTCTGGTCTTACTCTCTGTCTCTTCTCCTCCTCTGTGTCCTTCTCCTCCTCTTCATCACTCGTTCTTTTCCTCTTCTCCTTTTTCTTCTTCTGGATTTTCTTCACGTCTGAAGAACAAAGAACATCTCACTAAAAAACACGAGAGTTTCTTGGTTTAGACCTGGTCCAGTCCTGGTCCGGTCCTGGTCCGGTCCTGGTCCGGTCCTGGTCCGGTCCTGGTCCAGACCTGCAGACAGTTCTTCTCTGAAGAAGGCGTCGCTCAGATCCACGTCTGGGGGAAGTTCATCGTCACTGAGTCCGACCTCCGAGTCCTGAGACACAAGAGCAAAGAATCGGGGTTTAGACCTGGTCGAGTCCCAGTTTAGTCCCGGTTTAGTCCCGGTCCAGACCTGGTTCTTCTTCTCTTTCCTCTTCTCCTTCCTCTTCTCCTTCTTCTTCTGCAGATATTTGTCCCACGGACCGAGAGTCTCCGACGCCTCCAGACGCTTCTGCAACTTCTGCTTCAGACCTGAGAGAAGAACTCAGGTTAAACCAGGTCTAAACCAGGACTAAACCAGGACTAAACTAAACCAGGACTAAACCAGGACTAAACCAGGACTAAACCAGGTCTAAACCAGGACTAAACCAGGTAAACCAGGACTAAACCAGGTCTAAACCAGGTCTAAACCAGGACTAAACCAGGACTAAACCAGGACTAAACTAAACCAGGGTCTAAACCAGGACTAAACTAAACCAGGACTAAACCAGGACTAAACCAGGACTAAACCAGGACTAAACCAGGACTAAACCAGGACTAAACCAGGTCTAAACCAGGACTAAACCAGGACTAAACCAGGACTAAACCAGGACTAAACCAGGACTAAACCAGGACTAAACCAGGTCTAAACCAGGACTAAACCAGGACTAAACCAGGTCTAGGACTAAACCAGGACTAAACCAGGACTAAACCAGGTCTAAACCAGGACTAGACCAGGACTAAACCAGGACTAAACCAGGACTAAACCAGGACTAAACCAGGACTAAACCAGGACTAAACCAGGACTAAACCAGGATTAAACCAGGACTAACCAGGACTAAACCAGGACTAAACCAGGTCTAAACCAGGACTAAACCAGGAAACTAAACCAACCAGGACTAAACCAGGACTAAACCAGGACTAAACCAGGACTAAACCAGGACTAAACCAGGACTAAACCAGGACTAACCAGGACTCTAAACCAGGTCTAAACCAGGACTAAACCAGGACTAAACCAGGACTAAACCAGGACTAAACCAGGTCTAAACCAGGACTAAACCAGGTCTAAACCAGGTCTAAACCAGGTCTAAACCAGGACTAAACTAAAACCAGGACTAAACCAGGACTAAACCAGGACTAAACCAGGACTAGGAACCAGGACTAAACCAGGACTAAACCAGGACTAAACTAAACCAGGACTCTAAACTAACCAGGTCTTAAACCAGGACTAAACCAGGACTAAACCAGGACTAAACCAGGTCTAAACCAGGACTAAACCAGGACTAAACCAGGACTAAACCCAGGACTAAACAGGTCTAAACCAGGACTAAACCAGGACTAAACCAGGACTAAACCAGGACTAAACCAGGAAACCAGGACTAAACCAGGTCTAAACCAGGACTAAACCAGGTCTAGGACTAAACCAGGACTAAACCAGGACTAAACCAGGACTAAACCAGGTCTAAACCAGGACTAAACCAGGACTAAACCAGGTCTAGACCAGTACCTGGGACCCATGTGACCTCCATGTCTCCGTGTTGGTCTCGTTGTTGTTCTTCTTTAGCCCGGATGCCCTGCAGAAGTTCTCTGTACTTGTGGATCTGCTCCTCGCTGCGACTCTTCCACTTTTTCTCTGAGGAAGAAAAAAAAAAAAAAAAAAAAAAAAAAGTTAATCAATAAATCGATGAATCGTACGATCACTTTTGACGAGCTCGATCACTTTTCCGGTCGTGATAAATTCTGTTTGTAGTTTGTTTGTTTTGCTCGTCTCTGTCGCTCTGACTCGTCTCGTTTAACGTATCGACTCTTGATCATCGTGTGTTTTTATCGACACAGTTGATGCTCTCAGTCTGAAAACGTCGCCGTCTGAACCCAAACAGTTCATCACCGAGAGACAAAACACGTCACGATGTCGAATCAACACTGAGTGACGCGTCTCAACAGAGAAACACAAACGACGAGAAGAAACGACTCAAACCCCGACACACGATAAAAACCCAAACCTGAGAGTCGGTGTGGGCGATATATCGATACATTTAAATATATGGAGATATTTTTTAAAACTCGATATGAATTCTGACATATCGTATAAATCGATATAATGTTTATATTCAATTTTGATTTTGCCGCTTTGTTTGTTTGTTTCTCTCTCGTCCTTCGCCTCCCTGAGTTTGTCGCTCGTGTCTCCTTCACTCGTCACTGTCGCCGTGAACGACGAAAGTTGGTGCAAGTGAAAAGCTTCAAGCCCCACGAACCTTTTCCACCATTTACAGACAAAACCATCAGCAGCAGCACATCCTCATGTTCCACCGAGTCGCGTCCTTTAGTCCGAAAGAAACTGAACCACATGAGCGACACCTGGAGTGAACTGTTTATGCAAATGAGCCGTGTGCTTTTTAAGTTTCGTTTCTATAAAATGTAAACAAGCGAACATTATAATGTCAAAGGGTCTGATGTGGATCTAGAGTCGTTGCTTTATATATATTGTAAAGTTTAGTCATGTAAAGTTTATTTATGTAGAAGATTTTAATGAATAATCTGCTGCAGTGTCACTTGTACAACAGAGTTTGAAGCGTTGGGTTTGATCTGCAGTGGATTGTGGGATTAAAGTTTGTATGGAGGATGTTTTTTTTGTTTCAAATTGTCAGTGATAGATTATAGATGCAGTCGCCTTGTAATTATGATGACCAAAAAAAAGAGAATAAAAATTCATCAACTCTGGACGTGGTGGGGCTAAACATTTGCCAATAGATAACGACACTGCCTCGTTATCTGTGAGCTGACAGGCTGTCAATCAAACTCCCTACGTTTCTAGTGTAACTGACTTGCCTGCGCCGCCGGTACGTGGTTTACGTACGACACAGACGCTGTTTACTCCACCAACACAACAGTTCTTAGCGGCTTTTTTTGACCTTTATCTTCCTCGCAGTTCACACAAAGTTTGTTGCGATGGCAACAAGAATCCAGGAGCAGTTCACCCCAAAAGAAAGTCTGTTTTTGAGGTGAAAGAAGAAGACAAGGGGAAAAGCAGCGAAGCCAAACTAAGGTGATTCTTGAAGATTCATTCCAGCGATGGCGCGACTGAAGCAGACGAAGAGTCTAAAGACTGAACCACTGGTCCACAAATTACTCCTGGACAGGAAACTTCTGCTTATTATGAAAACGTACTTTATTTCCAAGAGCGACACAAACGTTTTTCAGGACACGAAAGTGATATCCTGTGTCTGAAAATGTAATTTTCAAGGCAAATAAAGAGTCGCTTGCTGCTGCGTGTTGTAGTTAGTTCATTCGCACTGAATCTCCGCGCACTCTTCTCTGCACCCCTTTCCTGCTCCTGTCCCCGCTGCCCGTTCTGTTCTTCTCCGTCTTGCCTAACCAACACTGTAGTTAGTTGTTTACTAGTCATGTGCAGCAGGCTGTAAACAAACCTGTTTGTGGCGTAAGGAGGAGGAGGGAGGAGGTGTTTCTACGTAGGAGCAACATTTGAAAAAGGACAAACAGTCGCTGGATTTCTCCTTCCTTGGAAAATCCTCTATACAACCTTTAAACCTCAGAGCTCCTCACTGCTGGAACATGGATCTGTTCAAATAAAGAACCTCCAGAACTTCTTCTGCTAAATGAGCTCATGGTTCTGGATCACAGAGTTAATGTAAAGATGACCTTGTGTTGAGTTGTTTTATTTATGAATGAAAAGAAGGAAATATGTTTTATTTCTTTAAATAAATAAAATTATGGGTCAATTAATAGTCCAGTAAAATCTGTTATTGTTACAGACAAACGTGTGGAACATGGCACAGGTAGAACATGGCACAGGTGGAACATGGCACAGGTGGAACATGGCACAGGTGGAACATGGCACAGGTGGAACAGGTGGAACATGGCACAGGTGGAACATGGCACAGGTGGAACATGGCACAGGTGGAACATGGCACAGGTGGAACATGGCACAGGTGGAACATGGAACATGGCACAGGTGGAACATGCAGAACACAGTGTTCTCCACACGAGGTAAAACAGCACGATTTACAGGGACGTTCAGAACCGCGGCTGCTGCAGTTTGTTCAGTGACCAGAAGAGGGCAGTAAAGAACAGACACTACGACCACACCGCACACAAGTGAAAACAAGATTATTTGGATCTAATTCTAAACTCTTTAATTAGACTTTTCCACACACGATGATTTTAGATTTTTATCCTTTTCTCCTTTGATGTGTAAAAAACAGAACTTGAGGAGCTTCACTGGTTCTGACCTGGAGCTGAGCCTTCGCCGCCGCCATCTTGTCTCTCCTCCTCTTCCTGCCGTGGCCCCTCCTCTTCCTGCCGTGGCCCTCCTCCTCCTCCTCTTCCTCTTCTTCTTCTTCTTCTTCGCTGGAGGAGGCCAGATAGGCCTTAAAGTCCAGACTGAGGAGCTCGTCTTTGTTGAACTTCCTGTTCAGAGCCGAGACGCGATCGTGATCCGTCTCATCCCACGTGACCTGGACCTGAGGGACAAACAGAACTGAACCAGGAAACTGAACCGGGACTGAACCAGGACTGAACCGGGTCTAAACCAGGACTGAACCGGGTCTAAACCAGGGTTAAACCAGGACTGAACCAGGTCTAAAGAACCAGGTCTAACTAAACCAGGACTGAAACCAGGTCTAAACCAGGACTGAACCAGGACTGAACCAGGACTGAACCAGGACTGAACCAGGTCTAAACCAGGACTGAACCGGGTCTAAACTGGGTCTGAACCAGGTCTAAACCGGGTCTGAACCGGGACTGAACCAGGACTGAACCAGGACTAAACCAGGTCTAAACCAGGACTAAACAGGGTCTAAACCGGGTCTAAACCGGGTCTAAACCGGGTCTGAACCGGGACTGAACCAGGACTGAACCAGGACTAAACCAGGTCTAAACCAGGACTAAACCAGGGTCTAAACCGGGTCTAAACCGGGACTGAACCGGGACTAAACCAGAACTGAACCAGGACTGAACCAGGACTGAACCAGGACTAAACCAGGACTAAACCAGGACTAAACCAGGACTGAACCGGGTCTAAACCAGGTCTAAACCGGGTCTAAACCGGGACTGAACCGGGACTAAACCAGAACTGAACCAGGACTGAACCAGGACTAAACCAGGACTGAACCGGGTCTCAAACCGGGTCTAAACCGGGACTGAACCGGGACTAAACCAGGACTGAACCAGGACTAAACCGGTTCTGAACCAGGCCTAGTCCTGGTCTGGTCTGCTCTGCTCCTGGTCTCGTCCTGGTCTGGTCCCGGTCTCGTTCCGGTCTCGGTCTGGTCCCCGGTCTCCCGGTCCTCTGGTCTCGTCGGTCTCGGTCTGGTCCTGGTCTCGGTCTCGGTCCTGGTCTCACCTTGGAGGTGTTGTTGGAGCTGGAGTTGAAGGTTTTGGGTTTGTAGGACGTCAGGTTCACGTCGGTGGAAACGTCTGTGGGCTCCTCCTCGAACGACACATCATCAGGAACAAACCTGAGAGGAGGAAGAGGAAGAGAAGAAGAAGAGAAGAGGAAGAGGAAGAGGAGGAGGAGAAGAAGAAGAAGAAGAAGAGAGGGATGAGAGGAGGAGTCTGAATATTCCCGCACTGTTTCTGACCCTGACTCACTTCCTGTTGGGTGCCGCGTCTGGACTCACCTGAGGTCCAGGACGCTGCTCTCGTACTCGTCTGGACTCACCTGGACTCTGGACTCACCTGGACTCACCTGGACTCACCTGGACTCTGGACTCACCTGACTCGTCTGGACTCACCTGGACTCACCTGGACTCACCTGGACTCACCTGGACTCTGGACTCACCTGGACTCGTCTGGACTCGTCTGGACTCGTCTGGACTCACCTGGACTCACCTGGACTCGTCTGGACTCACCTGAGGTCGAGGACGGCGCCGCTGCTCTCGTACTCGTATCCGTCGCACTCGGCGTAGATGTGGGCGGCGGTCTCGGGGCGGTCGCACTCCACCACGGCGTAGTAATACTTCAGACGACGGAACTGGTACTGACGCATCCGCTCACGGTAAAGTCTGGAACCACAGACCACAGACCCGGTCAAGACCACAGACCAGACCCGGTCAAGACCACAGACCAGACCCAGGTCAAGACCACAGACCAGACCCAGTCAAGACCACAGACCAGACCCGGGTTAGACCAGAGTGTGTATTTGTACATATATTTGTGTGTATATTTGTGTATATATTTGTGTGTATATTTGTACATATATTTGTGTATATTTGTGTATATATTTGTATATATATTGTGTATATATATTGTGTACTATATTTGTATATATTTGTGTGTATTGTTTATATATTTGTGTGTATATTTGTTATATATATTTGTGTGTATATTTGTACATATATTTGTTTATATTTTGTGTATATATTTGTACATATATTTGTGTATTATATATTTTGTACATATATTTGTGTATATATTTGTGTATATTTGTACATATATTTGTTTATATATTTGTGTATATTTGTACATATATTTGTGTGTATTTTGTTTATATATTTGTGTGTATATTTGTATATATTTTGTATATTTGTACATATATTTGTGTATATATTTGTGTATATTTGTACATATATTTGTGTGTATATTTGTTTATATATGTGTGTATATTTGTACATATATTTGTGTATATTTGTGTATATTTGTATATATTTGTTTATATATTTGTGTATATTTGTACATATATTTGTGTGTACTTGTTTATATATTTGTGTGTATTTGTACTTTTCCTCCTCGGTGTCGTCGTCTGAATCGTCCGGCAGGGCCCTGAGCTCCAGCGGCGCCTGTCGCTGCTCCTGCCGCAGGCGCTCCCTGCCAAAGTCCGACAGGAAAATCTGAAAACGACAAACACACGTCACTCACGATACCGATACTCGATACCGATACTGATCCCACCATGATGAGAATAAAACTCTTTGTTTAGACCATCTCCTGTGATTTTCCAGACTCTGGATTGGATGGATTTGGATCTGTCTTTATCGCCGACAATCATTTTAACGCCGTTAATGCAGTTTTTATTATTTATTTTTATTGTAAACCTCTGTTGCTCATGGGCTTTTATTTTGAAAAAGTCCACCATGAGCGTTTCTTTAAGTTTGACGTCTTCTCTTTCTTTTTCTTTTCTGAGCACGTGAGATGCAACGTGTCCGAGACTGTGAGCTTCTCCGACCGGACCGGCCGTGGACTCTGGTTCACGGGTCTTTCTCTTTCTCCTTCTTACAGACGACCTTGAGGCGTCCAAATCGAGGTGTTCAGTGTGGTTCTCTTTGGTCTCGCTTACATAACACTATTACAGAGTATTCGCGAAGACCTGGAAGATGTTGTGATCTGATCCCGCCCATAACTCAGTGAAATATGATTGGCTCAGACAACTGTCAATCTCAAACTTTGTTCCAGCCACCGAAGGTCCTGCAGGTGTTTGTTTAGTTCAGTTCCTGCAGGTGTTTGTTTAGTTCAGTTCCTGCAGGTGTTTGTTTAGTTCAGTCCTGCAGGTGTTTGTTTAGTTCAGTGCTGCAGGTGTTTGTTTAGTTCAGTGCCTGCAGGTGTTTGTTTAGTTCAGTGTTGCAGGTGTTTGTTTAGTTCAGTTCCTGCAGGTGTTTGTTTAGTTCAGTGTTGCAGGTGTTTGTTTAGTTCAGTGCAGGTGTTTGTTTAGTTTAGTTCAGTTCTGCAGGTGTTTGTTTAGTTCAGTGTTGCAGGTGTTTTTGTTCAGTTCAGTGCAGTGTGCAGTGTTTGTTTAGTTCAGTGTCTGCAGGTGTTTGTTTTAGTTCAGTTGCCTGCAGGTGTTTGTTTAGTTCAGTTCCTGCAGGTGTTTGTTGTTAGTTCAGTGTGCAGTTGTGTTTAGTTCAGTTCAGTGTTTGTTCAGTGTGCAGGTTTGTTTAGTTCAGTTCCTGCAGGTGTTTGTTTAGTTCAGTCCTGCAGGTGTTTGTTTAGTTCAGTGCAGGTTTGTTTGTTTAGTTCAGTGTTGCAGGTGTTTGTTTAGTTCAGTGTTGCAGGTGTTTGTTTTAGTTCAGTGTGCAGGTGTTTGTTTAGTTCAGTTCCTGCAGGTGTTTGTTTAGTTCAGTGCTGCAGGTGTTTTGTTTAGTTCAGTGCTGCAGGTGTTTGTTTAGTTCAGTGTTGTTTGTTCAGGTGTTTGTTTAGTTCAGTTCCTGCAGGTGTTTGTTTAGTTCAGTGTTGCAGTGTTTGTTTAGTTCAGTTTCCTGCAGGTGTTTGTTTAGTTCAGTGTTGCAGGTGTTTGTTTAGTTTCAGTTTGCAGGTGTTTGTTTAGTTCAGTGTTGCAGGTGTTTGTTTAGTTCAGTGTTGCCTGCAGGTGTTTGTTTAGTTCAGTGCTGCAGGTGTTTTGTTTAGTTCAGTTCCTGCAGGTGTTTGTTTAGTTCAGTGTTGCAGGTGTTTGTTTAGTTTCAGTTCCTGCAGGTGTTTGTTTAGTTCAGTTCCTGCAGGTGTTTGTTTAGTTCAGTGTGCAGTGTGTTTGTTTAGTTCAGTGTGCAGGTGTTTGTTTAGTTCAGTGTTGCAGGTGTTTGTTTAGTTCAGTTCCTGCAGGTGTTTGTTTAGTTCAGTGTTGCAGGTGTTTGTTTAGTTCAGTGCTGCAGGTGTTTGTTTAGTTCAGTGCTGCAGGTGTTTGTTTAGTTCAGTTCCTGCAGGTGTTTGTTTAGTTCAGTGCTGCAGGTGTTTGTTTAGTTCAGTCCTGCAGGTGTTTGTTTAGTTCAGTGCTGCAGTGTTTTGTTTAGTTCAGTGTGCAGGTGTTTGTTTAGTTCAGTTCCTGCAGGTGTTTGTTTAGTTTCAGTGTTGCAGGTGTTTTTTAGTTCAGTGCTGCAGGTGTTTGTTTAGTTCAGTGCTGCAGGTGTTTTGTTTAGTTCAGTTTCCTGCAGGTGTTTGTTTAGTTCAGTGTTGCAGGTGTTTGTTTTAGTTCAGTTCCTGCAGGTGTTTGTTTAGTTCAGTTCCTGCAGGTGTTTGTTTAGTTCAGTGTGCAGGTGTTTGTTTAGTTCAGTGCTGCAGGTGTTTGTTTAGTTCAGTGTTTGTTTAGTTCAGTTCTTGCAGGTGTTTGTTTAGTTCAGTGCTGCAGGTGTTTGTTTAAGTTCAGTTCCTGCAGGTGTTTGTTTAGTTCAGTAGTGCTGCAGGTGTTTTTGTTTAGTTCAGTGCTGCAGGTGTTTGTTTAGTTCAGTTCCTGCAGGTGTTTGTTTAGTTCAGTTCCTGCAGGTGTTTGTTTTAGTTCAGTGTGCAGGTGTTTGTTAGTTCAGTGTTGCAGGTGTTTGTTTAGTTCAGTGTTGCAGGTGTTTGTTTAGTTCAGTGCTGCAGGTGTTTGTTTAGTTCAGTTCCTGCAGGTGTTTGTTTAGTTCAGTTCCTGCAGGTGTTTGTTTAGTTCAGTGTTGCAGTGGTGTTTGTTTAGTTCAGTGCTGCAGGTGTTTGTTTAGTTCAGTTCCTGCAGGTGTTTGTTTAGTTCAGTGTGCAGGTGTTTGTTTAGTTCAGTGCTGCAGGTGTTTGTTTAGTTCAGTTCCTGCAGGTGTTTGTTTAGTTCAGTTCCTGCAGGTGTTTGTTTAGTTCAGTGTGCAGGTGTTTGTTTAGTTCAGTTCCTGCAGGTGTTTGTTTAGTTCAGTGTTGCAGGTGTTTGTTTAGTTCAGTGTTGCAGTGTTTGCAGTTTTGTTTAGTTCAGTGCTGCAGGTGTTTGTTTAGTTCAGTGTTGCAGGTGTTTGTTTAGTTCAGTGTTGCAGGTGTTTGTTTAGTTCAGTTCCTGCAGGTGTTTTGTTTAGTCAGTTCAGTGTCAGTTCAGTGCAGGTGTTTGTTTAGTTCAGTGTGCAGGTGTTTAGTTCAGTGCAGGTGTTTGTTTAGTTCAGTGTTGCAGTTTTTTGTTTAGTTCAGTGCCTGCAGGTGTTTTTTAGTTCAGTGCAGTGTTTGTTTAGTTCAGTGTTGCAGGTGTTTTGTTTTAGTTCAGTGCTGCAGGTGTTTGTTTAGTTCAGTGTGCAGGTGTTTGTTTAGTTCAGTGTTGCAGTGTGTTTGTTTAGTTCAGTGTTGCAGGTGTTTGTTTAGTTCAGTTCAGTGTCCTGCAGGTGTTTGTTTAGTTCAGTGTTGCAGGTGTTTGTTTAGTTCAGTTCCTGCAGGCAGGTGTTTGTTTAGTTCAGTGTGCAGGTGTTTGTTTAGTTCAGTTCCTGCAGGTGTTTGTTTAGTTCAGTTCAGGTGTTTGTTTTAGTTCAGTTTGCAGGTGTTTGTTTAGTTCAGTTCCTGCAGGTGTTTGTTTAGTTCAGTTCCTGCAGGTGTTTGTTTAGTTCAGTGTTGCAGGTGTTTGTTTAGTTCAGTGTTGCAGGTGTTTTGTTTAGTTTCAGTTCCTGCAGGTGTTTTGTTTAGTTCAGTGTTGCAGGTGTTTGTTTAGTTTCAGTGCAGGTGTTTGTTTAGTTCAGTGCAGGTTGCAGGTGTTTGTTTAGTTCAGTGTTGCAGGTGTTTGTTTAGTTCAGTGTTGCAGGTGTTTGTTTTTAGTTCAGTGCTGCAGGTGTTTGTTTAGTTCAGTGCTGCAGGTGTTTGTTTTAGTTCAGTTCTTGCAGGTGTTTGTTTAGTTCAGTTCCTGCAGGTGTTTGTTAGTTCAGTGTGGCAGGTGTTTGTTTAGTTCAGTTCCTGCAGGTGTTTGTTTTAGTTCAGTGTGCAGGTTTGTTGTTTAGTTCAGTTCCTGCAGGTGTTTGTTTAGTTCAGTGTTGCAGGTGTTTGTTTAGTTCAGTTCCTGCAGGTGTTTGTTTAGTTCAGTTCCTGTTGTTTAGTTCAGTTCCTGCAGGTGTTTGTTTAGTTCAGTTCCTGCAGGTGTTTGTTTAGTTCAGTGTTGCAGGTGTTTGTTTAGTTCAGTGCTGCAGGTGTTTGTTTAGTTCAGTGTCCTGCAGGTGTTTGTTTAGTTCAGTGTTGCAGGTGTTTGTTTAGTTCAGTGCTGCAGGTGTTTGTTTAGTTCAGTGCTGCAGGTGTTTGTTTAGTTCAGTTCCTGCAGGTGTTTGTTTAGTTCAGTGTTGCAGGTGTTTGTTTAGTTCAGTGCTGCAGGTGTTTGTTTAGTTCAGTTCCTGCAGGTGTTTGTTTAGTTCAGTGCTGCAGGTGTTTGTTTAGTTCAGTTCCTGCAGGTGTTTGTTTAGTTCAGTGTTGCAGGTGTTTGTTTAGTTCAGTTCCTGCAGGTGTTTGTTTAGTTCAGTTCCTGCAGGTGTTTGTTTAGTTCAGTTCCTGCAGGTGTTTGTTTAGTTCAGTGTTGCAGGTGTTTGTTTAGTTCAGTGTTGCAGGTGTTTGTTTAGTTCAGTGTTGCAGGTGTTTGTTTAGTTCAGTTCCTGCAGGTGTTTGTTTAGTTCAGTGTTGCAGGTGTTTGTTTAGTTCAGTGTTGCAGGTGTTTGTTTAGTTCAGTTGCAGGTGTTTGTTTAGTTCAGTTCCTGCAGGTGTTTGTTTTAGTTCAGTTCCTGCAGGTGTTTGTTTAGTTCAGTGTAGTTCAGTGTTGCAGGTGTTTGTTTAGTTCAGTGCTGCAGGTGTTGTGTTTAGTTCAGTTCCTGCAGGTGTTTGTTTAGTTCAGTGTGCAGGTGTTTGTTTAGTCAGTGTTGCAGTGTTTGTTTAGTTCAGTGTTGCAGGTGTTTGTTTAGTTCAGTGTTGCAGGTGTTTGTTTAGTTCAGTTCCTGCAGGTGTTTGTTTAGTTCAGTGTTGCAGGTGTTTGTTTAGTTCAGTGCTGCAGGTGTTTGTTTAGTTCAGTTCCTGCAGGTGTTTGTTTAGTTCAGTGTTGCAGGTGTTTGTTTAGTTCAGTTCAGTGTTGCAGGTGTTGTTTAGTTCAGTGTTGCAGGTGTTTGTTTAGTTCAGTGTTGCAGGTGTTTGTTTAGTTCAGTTCCTGCAGGTGTTGTTTGTTTAGTCAGTTGCAGTGTTGTTTAGTTCAGTGTTGCTGCAGGTGTTTGTTTAGTTCA